TTCATAAGTATAACTTTATGGCATTGTTTGGCCAAAAGCTTAATGTGCTGTTCATCCATTTTTATTAAACAATTTTGAACAATTTTAATACCTAGGAAATCATAGTTATGTAAATACTTATTATGCCGATGAATAAAAATGATAAAAATAAAATACCTGTTATTTTTTCTACCATCATATCCCCAGGAGGTAGAATGAATTTCAATAAGACTTTATATGCAATATTGGGTGTGGCAGATGAGCTGATTCGGTCCATTACAGCTGATATGCTTAAACGAGAATAAGATACAAGTGCATCGGCGTTTGGTCGAGTAAATGATTTTAATAACATATCCATAAACCAATTAGAAAGTATTGAGTGTATACTATCTAGAGAACTATTCTTAACGATATATGTGCACAGTTTCATAGCTGCCATTTGTTGATAGCGATTATGTGGGCCTGTGAAATGTGGCTGAAGTGTTCCCCAAAATGACGAAATAAGTGAATCGCTAATGCTTGCAGATGTTAAAGCAATAGCAAAAGCTTCATACACAGGGTGCTCAAGTACTTCCACGGAGGAAATGTGCTAGATACACAAGCAATATAATTAGTAACAATACAATAAGACAATATTAAAAAACTAAAAATTCTTACAAATATTAGTATCTTTGCAATATCATTCATTGATTCAATACATAAGAGTTCAGTACCAGTCTCCAACACTCTTGGAATAAATGCACCATCGATTAATTTTGGATACCGACTATGCACTTGTATTATGCAATATAATGAATCTAAAGTTTGCTTTGTAATAGGCAATCCAATGTACTTTTTCAAATAAGGCCAAATTATTTCCGAAAACATAACATTATTGGACTAAAATAAAAAACAATATATAATTACAAACAAATCACCATCGCTATTCTTTACTTTTGCATAGCTAAAATAAAAATCACTTACTGAATCAATTCCTTCAGTTAAAAATTTGTACGTCAACAGTGGTAAATAAGACCTTGTTTTCATATTGCCTAAAAGTTCAGCCACAATAGCTTTTTGGGTATCCATCGCTCCAGCACTAAATATTCCACTACGTATCATTGCACCATAACATAACACTTTACCAGACAAGATATCACCTTCTTCCTGTAAAATTAAATTGAAATTCAAAACTTACTTGATACCTATTTTAATATCCCAATCAAAAATCTCAAAAATTGATTTAACACCTTAAGGTTAGGTTAAGATAAAAAAAAACCAATAACTTTTAGATATCAAACATAGGAACAGTTTTTAAGAAGTAGGTAAATATTTAACAGTTATATGTATAGGAATATCGTGTTTAAACTACCTAATACCTAGTTATAATATTTGTATTGAATAATTAAAAACTGAGTTATTCCTATTTTAAATCTTAAGTATCACTATTTACTTTACTAAACTGACAATGCCGCAACAGGTACTTACAGCTTTTGAATCATATTTAGTCAGCTCCTTATCTACAACGTTCTTAAAGTTTTCCAGATTGAACCATGGCTTGTCTGTCAAATGGCTCACAATAACCACCAGAATAGAATAGTAAACGGTTCGGACTTGTGTCTTTGGGGACCCCAATCCGCGTACCAATCTCGTTAACACATAAAATATTTCTTTTTGTCGCTGCTCGTCCAACTGAAACAATAATATTATGTACATTTAAAGATTTACCTAACTGTTAAAAGGCAGGATATGACTTACCGATTCGTTACTGAAGAGCTGCAAATGTTTCACCAGTTGCATGCATAGTTTCGGTTGGGCATTGTGTGGCGCTTTGATGACTTTTGAGAAAAGATCCAAAACAGATTTACTGGCCATGGTTAAAACAGTTCAAATACAAAGATCAAAACGATTTCATTTCCAAGTTAATAGTTTTAAAATGAACAATACACTGTAAATCTACATGTGACGATTCAAATTCCGATCAGAGAGGTCTGAAGACATGTAGAGAAAACACGTGATAATCGTTTGTTTATCGCCGCTTACGTTATCAACGAACGTGGCAAGGGAGAATACAAAATGTTTGGAAATATTTTCTCCGATATCAAAGGACCTATTAACTGTGATAAGACGTCCCGGCATATAATGTTCCAGAAAAAAAAAGGCCAGAATCGTCCAGAATGTAGATTTGTCGAATGTTTAATTTAATTACAGAAAAAAAAATTACAGAATTGAAAACAACCAGAATAAAGAAACCCAGAAAATATTTGAACAGAAAATTAAATGAACGAAAATAAACACTACAGGATAAGAATAAGAATATATATCAGTAGAACGTAAACATACAGAAATTAATATTGCAGAAATCCTGCTAAGTGTATAATCTGGAATGGAATATAATAGAACATAACTTTACAGAACGTTATGATGCATAAAAAAATGTTTGCATAAAATATAACTGAAAATTATTTATTAGAAAACATATTTCCAGAAGTAGGTACACCTATTGAAATTTTTTTAGTTGATAATTAAAATGCTTAGGTACAAAATATAATTTTTTTTACGTATTTCTGTTTTTAAATTAATGACTAACATTAAGTAACCAGTGTCTAGTACCACGAATTAAGATATATCTTAATTCGTGTCTATAAGTATATAGTACAGTGTCGGCCTGGCATATAAAAGGCCTCGGCCGCAATTTTTCTCTGGGGCCTCGATTTTTTTTCTTCATTTACTATATATGAACAATTTCGTTCCTAGAGTTATTGTATATCCCCCCCCCCCCCCCGCTCAATCAGCCAATGTGTAAATGAATTATTTTTTGTAAACTAACTTATGATATATTATGTCAGAATTCAGTTTTTTTCTTATGAATAAAAATAAAAAATGACTATAGTTGTGTGATTAAAGTGAAACCTGTATATTGAACAGCACCGTTTGATGCTGACCGTTAAACGCCAATTATTAACGCTGACTTTTACCTCCCTCCCCCCACTCACCAAATAGTCGCTCGATTAAAATTTTTCCACTTTTACAATTCTCTACTAAAGTCTAAAACCAAGTATTAACTTCTGACGTGCTTAATGATACACATGATTTTAATAAGGTACTAAACAAAATGTAATTCAAATTACGAAAAAGATATCATCCAAAATATAATAAAGAAGACGAACAATGAACAAAAGTTGACACAACATTATTTTTAAAGAAAGTAATAGCTAAATATAAAAAACTTAAATACTAAATGAGCAATTCATGTAACATTTTAGATGACTTAGGTAGTTATGTAGCTATAGTATCAATAATTTGAGTTTTCTGAATCTTGATATCTTTTTCAATTGCAATAAGCATTAAATGTTGTTGACTTATTGTTGATCTGATTTTAGACTTCACAAGTTTCAGTTTAGAAAATACCCTTTCACAAGTCACTTGAGTAGAGGGTAAAATAAATACATATTTATAAACTGTAAATAAATTATAAAATGAGTTTGAATGAAATGAAAGTTCTTTAATTACTTAACTTAATTGTTCTTACTTCTTTATTTCGATATAGCGCTAATGATAATAATTGATTAGACAATTTATCAAACCTATTGTACGGCCATACAAGGCCCCACACATAGACGTTATTGACTTATTGTATTTGTACTCGTTACGATTTTCCCGACAATTTTGTTGTACAAAAAATCTTATGTGCGTTCAAATCATCTCGTTTATCATTACATTTGTACTACACCTTATACGAGTAAACAGCACACCACACACGTATACACCATGACAAAATATAGATTCTATTATATCGTACTAGATAGTAGATAGGTACGTGTTTGTAGTGATTGTACACTACACTCAAATTCTATAACTTATACACAGGGCCGGATTTAGGATTGTGGGGGCCCTAGGGCCCATCATCTGGCCATATAAGGTTGACATATAACTTACTGCATAAGCTAAAAGGTAATTATCTCGTGGGGGCCTCTTATTAATTGAATCTTGTGGGGCCCCGGGCCCCGTGGGCTCTCTCTAAACCGGCCCCGTTTATACACTTCGTCAGTAGCGCAACTAGGCCAATTGTCACTTTCAATGAAGGGCTCTATTAAAGTTTTTTACGATTATTTTTGTGAATAAAAATTGGGGTGGTCATATTGATTGTAAAAATTGTTATCCAAATCTAATATAGAAAACAATATTTTTAGTTAAGACTTCGGCTGGGGCCCCTGCAGCCTGTGGGCCCCAGTGATCTACACTCCCTCGTTCATCGTCGTACATTTAATTGTACCGTATATTTGACGCTTTGTTGACTACTCTACGTTGGGGTGGTGGTCCTGGCCACTAATTATAAACTAAAAAAAAAAAAGCTCAGGGCCTCGGCCGCGTTCGCGGCCCCGCGGCCCTGGCCAGGCCGACACTGATATAGTACACATTTATTAATAAATAATAATTCTTATTAGGACAATAATGCAATCTGTTGCTTGGTTCCAATGGTCTTTTGTTCCAAAAAAAACATTTATCCTGATAAAGTTTGCCGTGGTTACTATCATCAACAGAGTATTTATTTATAGTTACCGGGCCTGTCTGTGAGTAGTACAATAATATGATTTTACACGACACGGCCAGTAAAGTTGTGATATTGCATGTAAATAAATAATTAATACTTTGTGGGATTTTGTGAACCCGGCTTACTATCTTTTGGTTATCATTTTGTGACATTGCATTAAAATTTGTATTTTTTCTATCGTCATTCGTGCAGACATAATATTATAGAAATGTTGTTTTAATGTTTTTTATTTCTATAGTCATTCCGCATTCGTACTACATCACAAACACTATAATCATTAACTTTTATTGTGTTAAAAAAAATTTTATCGAATAACATTTAAACATCACACTTACATACTAATACTTGAACATTTATTTTACTTCCTAGTTACTTTAATAATTGATGGCTATTGGCTGCTTGTAAGTTAGTACTCGAGTGTAACATTCCCGGTTGGAAATCGCCAATCGGTATCAATACGTCCATACGATTAAACTTTGTAAATACAATGGTAAGAAAGCTGCTGCTCACTTTGGGTCAATGTCGTTTGAACTAATGAAATTAATATATTTCAGTTTTCCCTGAGTTTATTCAATCATATACTCCAACCTTTCAACACGACATACAGATGTTGGTCAGTGTCCATGCTTCCTGGCAGCGAACGAGAAGCCGTCGATAGTGGTGGAAAAAGTAAGTCACCTTATTCCATTTGTGTGTACTGTGCATAACGTTTTTCTTAAAACACAATGGTTTCAGTTATAATGCCTCCATCTGCTCTGGACGCATTGACTCGATTAAATATCAACTACCCAATGCTGTTCAAGTTATCTAACAAAAGAAGCAACAGACAAACACATTGTGGTGTATTGGAGTTTATCGCAGATGAAGGAAAAATATACATTCCTTATTGGGTATTGATTTATCTCATGTTATAACTGGCTTAAATTTAGTTGAGATCCCACACTCTCATTTTTTAAAAATTCTTATTAAATCTACTCAATATGACAAAACCATATATTCAAATTATTTCAGTATGCTGATGAAAACTAAAACTAAATATTTTAAAAATCTATTTAAAAAGGTAATTCTATAGAAAACTACACAAGAACTTAATCTATCATCTATGTACATTTTAATAAATGTAATATTAGTAAATATATCTATTATAGTCTAGCCAACAAACTTACGATGTACAAATCGATAATTCGTACGGCTTGGCTTTACAGCATCCAACTATGGGGGCTAGCAAAGCCATCAAACACTAAAACCTTGCAAGCATTCCAATTCATATGCCTAAGCTTAATAACCTTTGCCCCTTTGTATGTAACCAATAAAAACCTCCACAAAGACCTTAATATTCCAACCCTCAACGAGTTAGCCAAATCTCATTGCATAAAATTCCACCAATACTGCGCGCTCATTCAAATCCATTAATTAAAAATCTAGTTAAAAATAAAATGGCCAAGAGACCTGCTTAATGCTTAAAAAAAAATCTATTATAGTACTATTGAATAAATCAATTATTAATTTGAAATAACTACTCTCCGAAATGAGTTGTTATAAATAGAATATTTTTGCGAAATTGTATATAATCATTAAGAGTTGTTTGATTGGGATTGCCTTTATTTATAAGATATTTTCAGTATACCAAGACGCTTAAAATTTTTAAAAAGTGATAATTTGTCTGGAATTTAAACTAGATTTGTTCTATAATTTATATTGTAACCCTCTCATGTGATCCGCCAACTGTATTTTATTTAGATGATGAAAAACCTGTTACTAGATGAAGGAGATATGGTGCAAGTTGAAAGTGTTTCATTAGAAGTAGCCACATTTTCAAAGTTTCAACCTCTGAATTCCGAATTCTTAGATATTACCAACCCAAAGGCTGTTTTAGAAAATTGCTTGCGCAATTTTGCTTGTCTGACTACTGGTGATGTAATAGCTATAAAGTACAATCAAAAAAATTATGAAATGTGTGTGTTGGAAACCAAACCGGGTAACGCTGTTAGTATCATTGAATGTGATATGAATGTTGATTTTGCTCCACCAGTTGGTTATCAAGAGCCTAAGCATGAAAAAAAACCAGCTACAGAAGATATGATGGTTGATCCTGCTGATTTAATGCCAGAACTATCTGGTTTTATAGCATTCAAAGGTTCAGGCAATAGATTAGATGGTAAAAAAAAGAAAGAAAATACTGACGATCCGCTTAATCAAGTTAAAGCAGCATACCAAAGAGGAATTCCAGATTACGAGTATACTTTAGGAACTATACAGTTCTTAAGAAACATCCGTCCAGTTATTAATGACAAAGAGGTAATAATTACTATATCTCAATATGTTAAAACCTGTAACCTATAATCTATATTTCTTATCAATAAAATAAATCATTTTCCTATTTAATATATCGTTGAAAAATTTTATAAATTCAAAATTAAAATATAAATATAAATTAATATTTGGCATTTCAGAATGAAAATCAAGATGGTTTTAAGCCATTTGCGGGATCTGGATCAGTACTCAAAACAAAAACAAAGAAAAATTAATATAGTTTTCTTTCATTACATGTACATATTTGTTTAATATAAGAGAATTTTGATTTTATATAGTGTATTGTTTTAAGATAATTCAATTTCTTATTCTAAAAAGGTTTTAACTTGGTGATTATTTTATAATTAAAAATAAATATTTCATACAATAATTATAAATTTGAGTATTGACTTTAAATTAAAGCATAATAGGCTATGCTTATTCTAAATAGGATTTTTATAATTTAGAAGGCTCTCATGTAAAAATATGTAATAATAACTTATTTACCGTACATTTTACAATGGTTTATTAAGTTTATTTATTTATTTTTACATTATTTGTCAGTACTTAAAAATTACTGAGCAAAATAACTAGTTTGAGAAAAATATCCCAATTTCTTACTACAAGTTACAACTATCAGTACTATTTATTTATTTATTTATATATATTATATACTAAACTGGTTTTAAAACCAGTAAAATACAAAATAATTGTCTGTACATTTTCTGCTGAACTTAATAATGATATAATTTAAAATTTAAATACCTTACTTATATATACAGACAACAGACATCAAAATTAAAAAAAAATTATGACAATAATAGTGGAACAGCATAATAATAAATAATAAATATAACAATAATAGTAACAGTAATAAACAAGAAGTGACTAAATAATTCAAAACATTAATTTAAACAAGTTAATTTTAGACCATAAAACATTCTGGCAAAATATTAACGTGACATATAAAATAAATCAACATGATCTGTAATATACTTATATGGTTTACCAATGACAGATCTCTGGGGAAATATGAGGTGGAAGTATAATTCAAAGTCTAAACTATTCATGTTATTAAAAACTTAAATTTGGAGTCATCAGTGCCAGATTTAACAGATCATACATGTCGGCCCCTTGACTCAGCTTCTCACAATTATTTTTTTACTGAGTGCCTACATCAAAAATGAAACGGAAAATAAATCAATCTAATAAATCCAGGAATAAATGTCATGTACTGATGTGTGTGCATATAGATTTGAGATACCTAGATTTGTTATCATGTATAATGTTTTTAATGCAGAAAAAAATTGTGTTGAGGCGTTGAACCCTGAAACCTCTATTATTTTTTTTACTTTTCACTTAAGCTATGAAATGTAAGAAGTTGGTGGACGGCTAGTTTAAAATGATTGCCAAGTATGTATAAAATGTAAAATAAAAAAATTTATTACATTTTTAACTGTAAAAAAAAAAAACAATTTTAGGTATGTATTTCTTTAGCGACATATTTCTGAACATGGAGAACGGATTTTATTGTTTAGGGTTTTGAAAGAATCACATTGACTAGGATAGGCACTGTGAAGAGTTTAAGACATTTATCTATAATAGTTCAATAATTCATACCTTTGCAATTGTACATCATAAAAGCACACATACCTATGTAAATAAGTACCAAATTAAAAATTCGGTCAACGTTATTAGAGGGCTAAAAAGTACTGAATGAGTTCTATATGAACAGTACAACATTAGTTAACATTTTAGTAACGGACACCAATGGCGTCCACAGGGGGGAGGCTAACGGGCTGAAGCCCCCCCCCCCCATTGCCCGTATTATATTACTTAAACAAAATATTTATCAAGTTTCAACTGTCAACTGTAGTAAGCAAGACCGTAAATGTCATATACGTCTTCAGTGCCGTAAAAACCGGGTGTGCAGAGTGTGCACCGCACACAGGCCTCGGGCCTCATAATATATCGAAGGGCCTCAAAAGATCTAAAGACTAATATTAAACTAATATAAAATTATTAAAATATATAAATTATTTATTATTGATTTGGAAAGGAAACCAATGTAGTTATTTCATTTTTTTTTATATACCTAGCATGGAGTCGTGATCACTGTTTTTAGATTTTGAGAGGAACGAACAAATGTATTGATTTTACAAGATGTGTACAATTTTTTTCATTTCTGTCGGTCATCAACATTGGGTGGTAAAAATATTCCGAATTTCGAGATCAGCATTTTTTCTGTTAGAAAAGTGAATCTAGTTGGTACATTTTGGAGATCGAAACCGAAATTTTTAGTTTTAGATATTACAAGCGTTAATAAAAAAAAAATTTTCATTTTTACCTAAAACCAAAAATTGTATTTTTTGGTATAACTCGAAAACTAATAACCGTAGACCATTGAAGTTTTCACCAAATATTTATATAAATATTTTCAATAAATTATATTTTGGAAAATTTTTACTTTTTTGAGTTAGTTATAGCCTTGAGAAATTGTTTTAAAGTTATAGACTATTTTAAATTAAAAATTTTTTTTGTTTAAGCCCGAATGTTTGTCTACTGACTTTAAAAATTGCAAAAAAAGTTTTTGGGGTGAGTATTGAAAAAGATAATAAGGGACCTCAATATTTTGGTTTTGCACACAGGCCTCAAGTAGCCTAGTTACGGCACTGTACGTCTTACCTGGATGAATTCATTTTTGAAAAAAAAACATTGTATTTGCATACCAATTTTTCTAAAATTATCTGTAATTTTTCGGTAAAACTGTAAAAGTATGAACTACTTGTATAAAAGACCTTGTATTAAATTGTCTAGCCTTAGCTATACACAATTAATATTTTTTTAAGTTTTGAACAACTAATTAACTGTGGTTTTGACGAAATTTGAACTTTAAATGCTTATAAAAAAAAACCATGATGAATATCTATCGTTAATATTTTAGATATACTAAAAACTTACGTATTACTTTTTTAGGCTTTTTGATTGGATGAATAATTTTTTATTGACATTTATAGAATAAAAAATGTTAATAAATCAAATTCAATCCAAGTGAGGATGGTATAACCACATAATAGATATTTAATCTATTCATGATGACATTAACCAATCAAGTATACAAATTGAAACTGAATGTTGGAAAAATATATTAAAACGAATAACAGTCTTAATACTAACGATCAGTAAACAAAACTCGGCTTTAAGAGGTCTCCTATTTATTTGGAAAATTAGTAATTAAATTACAGGGGTGGCAAAATTAAGTTTTGCCTACATATAAAAAATCACTAGGACCGGTCATGGATATAAGTATATAACATTGAGTCTTGATAACAACCAATTTATGTTGAAGTTAATTATTATATTATAATCAAAAATATAATAAAATATGTAATACCTATCAACTTGGTTACAGATTAGGCTAAATATTGTAGTAAATACTGACAAGGTGCATAATATAAATATAAATTCTTTAATGTCATACTTCGTGCAAACTTAACATATTGCACGGCGTGTTGTATAGGCAAAACAGGTACATTATTACTGCAGTGTTCATTGTTGTCCATAATGTATAACTTATAATCTAACACTAAAACATATTTGAATTTGAACGAAATTACATATTTAAAAGTAGAATAACGATTAACGATGTTTCTAATTTTGTTGTTATTCAAAAACATTATTCATACATAGTGGGGACTTAAAACTTTTACATATATTATAAATATTATACTACACGCAATGATATTTTCAAAATATTCAAATTTAATTCAACTCATTAGTCATTAGTCATTATCTGTTTATATAATGAACCTATTCACACTGTTTTACGGCAAGGTGCTATTGAATAAAAAGTTAAACAATTATATAGTATGATATAAATATCTAATATACCTACACTATTATAATAGATAATAAAATTCTAATAATATAATGAATGCCATGTTTTCACAAAAATTAAATCGGCCTACGCCTTACAGCCTGTAGTACTTATACTCTTTTTAACAGCATTATCAAAAAAACATGTCATGCATTTACTTTATATAGACTTTATACTAGACCATCTCTACTCAGAATATTGTTTTTCGTCTACAATGAAACATCGTTGAATTCAAATTTAAGACATCCATTTCCGCAGTGACCCACTCAACACCTACAACTGTACAGTGGAGTGGTACCCACTTGTCAATATTTTATATGGTTATTTAAAATAAAATCTGAAGAAGATTCATTCATCGATAAACAAAAGAATATAATATGATAACTAAAAATTAAACTTATTATTTATTAAGATTAAAATATAATTATCAAGTGCTGTTGCATGGAAAATTCGTTCTTTGCTCTACAATGTAGGCATAAACAATTTAAATTGATAGTCGATTGGCAGATATCAAATTTGGAGCAAATGTAATTCTTTAAAAATGACCTACAAGTGTCATCAATTTGGTCAAAAAAATGTCGTAAAAAGTCGTGTGTGTAATTTCTCAAACAATAATATTACAGTGATTATCGCCTTAGCACGAATTAAGATATACCTAAATCGTATATATATCTTAATTCGTGCCCCTGAGCAATCTCCACGTTCCGCCACTGGTGATACACCTGTGGAGTGCGCGATGTATCGGAAAACCCGCACTTCTTTAATATGAACAACAATAATAATTATTATAAGCATGAATCTAAACTTAGTAACTGCAGTGTCCGGGACACGTTCAATATTAAAATATTATATGTTATTATATAATATATCATAAAATGATATTATGTATTATGTTTCAATGTTTGATATAATTTAAAATATTAAATACATAAATGTGATATTTTCTTGCACCAATATGAATTGGGTAATTATAGAGTTAAAAATAAACAAATTAAATTTATTTTATGAATATCTACTAAAAATTTACTGCTACAATATTCAAAGTAGTATTTAAATCTGAGAATAAATATAGACATACCTTTCCAATAAATATGGGCATAATATGGCTATAGTTAGATTTTATTGGCACATTTAACATATTATGCTTCATAGTATAATATAACTAGTATTTATAATCAATGATATTATTTATTTTATTTATATCTTATAGCACAGTAAGTATACTTTCACTAGTATTAAAGCTGCACTTAACTCCAAAAATTTAAATAATAATACTAGTAATCGCGAGTATGTACAAATGTACAATGTACTGTAAAGTAAAATGTATAAAGTATAAAATTAAAAGTATTATAATATATT